AATTATTAATATTTTCAGGATCTCTTTGCTTCATGCTCCTGAAATATATTTAGCAGTGGTAATCAAAGGCCAAACTTGCACTCACTATGAAAATAACTACCAGAATCATTTAACCCAGAAAAGATCTCATTTTCTGGAGTAAAAGAGTCTGAAATTCAAATCCCCACTCCCCACTTTCTGGCTGCCTTATCTTTGATGAGCTATTTAAATCTTTCTGAGTTTCTGTTTCTTTATCTGTAAAGTAGGCATGAAAATAAAACCCGCAAAGTATTATTGTGGGTGTTTAATGAAATAATATACAGAAAGAGCTTAACACAGTGCCAGACACATAGGACACATTTCTTAAATGTCTGCTATTATTGCCATCATTATTATTATCATCTAGGGATGTTGTGCAGTTTGTATGTATCTCATTTACATACAAGAAAAGTACTGAGCTCAATGATCAGCACTCATTAAGCATTCAATAAATTCAGAAGAATTTATGAATTCAGAAGAATTTTTGGATTTAAGAATTCAATAAATTTCAGATATGAATCAACTAGAATCACAGTATGTCATGGAAGAGATTATTAGATAATTAGAGATTATCTAGGCCAATCCTCTCATTTAACAGATGAGGAAACATGTTTGAAAAGGAAGATGAGTGGCCACAGAGGACATGAAGGACAGCTCTGGACTCTACTGCAGGTTCTTTTCCAGGTCACCCCCAACCCTGAATAGTAAGAAGTGAACAGAGGGGATAATTTTTAAGTTGATGAGTGGGGTCCAGGAAAGAGAAAAATGTGTGATTCTTTCTTACAGCTTCTTACTGTAAAATGGATCCAGTAGTGAACCTTAGAACAGATATAGAAAGAACACAGTGGACAATGTTTCAATAATTTGCAGGCATAATCAGAGGCTCATAGAAATCACATCTGATGATAAAAATTGGGACAAAGGAGAGAAAAGGGAGACAATGAAAAAACTCAACATAGAAGTGCAAGGAGCTTTTTAAAGGCTTAAGGACACAAAGTGTTATAATGTCGTGACCTTGATCCTGAGATAAAAGAGCAGTTTATGCATAGATATTGTCCCAAAAGCCTAGACCCACTTATCACTTGTGAGAGCCTCCGTACTGCTTATGATGGATCCAACAAAGAACTGTTCTTTGGTGTTAAATCTTACTGTTGCTAGTACAAATAGGCAAGAATGTGATTCCATCTGGTTCAAGGTCCCAAGCACCCTGGTTGGTTAGGGAAAGAGTAAATAACCATCAGTGATAGCAATGGGGGTATGAGTCTTGGACAAGGCCAAAATGGGAATTCCAATATAGAATTGCCAATCCAGTGTCACAAAGGGATGCTAGGGCTAACTTGTGGTTTCCTTATCATGAAAGGAACATTTGCCTACAAATTTACAGATGCAAAACACAGAGCAAGGGACTAGGATGAAGAGTAACATATATATGAAAAAAGGCACAGATTTAGATGGAAGGTTATCAAGGGTTTTATAACTTACAGTTTGGTTTCCCTATTTGGCTCCTGCTGCAATAGTGTCACATAGGGTCTCTGGGGTGCCCAACAGCCAGTGAGAATATAACAATTCCCCTGTGCTTTGCCATATCATGGGCTTCTTATGTCACGCATGGTCATGGAGGGCAAACTGCCTCCCTATAGCAGAAAGAATCTGTGTAAAATGGAAAGCGGTTTGGGCAAAGGATAAATGCTTGCTGGGAGAAAAACAAGGCTAAAAGGAAAGGGAAGACCAGGTAAAAACTTTCTAGGGTCACAAAATGAGTTTCAGCTTCCAGCTAATATTGACAACAGGGAAAAAATAACCCTCAACACCTCCACCACTTTTGGCTCTCCCATTAAGATGATTTTCTTTCCAGTCTATTTGTGTAGGCTTACTAGGGTGCTGGCGTGATTGAGGACAAAGAAAATTAAAATATGGATTGTACTTTAAGGATTTAAGGATATCAAGTCTTTATGTTTTCAAGCAAAATTCCTCCTTTAATGTATAGTAAACAGATCTTTTAGCAGTATTCAGCACCACTAAGCAGCTAACCTGTATGTTATTTTCTTGGAGTCATACAGCAGGTCAGCATACAAGAAACTCATACTAGTTCTCAAGTGGGACATGTCCTGGGATCTCCTATGTGAGGAGATGAAGTGAAGAACGTTAGTTTCTGAATGTTGGGGCTCAAATTTTATAGTTTGCAGGGAAGGAAACCCATGGTACTTATGCTCCTCTCATCCCACTTGTACCCAGAAATTAACCACTAAGCCCAGATATGGCCTGAAAATCCATCATACTCCAGGCAGTACTACCCAGACAACAGCATTTGCAACAGGAGATGCCCTTCTGGCTAATCCCCACATTTCAAGTATGAGTTGGTGACCGAGGCAAGATTGGATCCAAATTGTGTGACATCCACTTTAGTGTTTTTATACCTCAATTCTGCTTTTTTCCTTTTCTCTTGTGCTGATGAGGACCCCCAGCTGCTTTACTCATGCAGCATCTTTAACATTCCATATAGCCCGGATGTGGTTTTAATTCACAGGATGAACAGAATTCATCTTGAAAGAGAGTAAGAATGAAGATTTGAAAGATGCACTGAGGTCTACTTGCCCTGAGAGAACAGATCCTGGCAGGCTAGCTTTAGTTTTGTGATCATCCTCTTCCCATTATCAACTTAACTCTCAGATGGATTAAGTGCTGACATAAAAGCCCATGATGACCAGAACTTTGTGTACCTACTTATAAAGAGGAAGAAAATAATGGGAAAAATAAGGTCTTTAGAGTCAGTTAAAGATTAAAGACAATCATCATCTTTCCCTCGCTAGCTGTGTGACTTTGCACAGACTGGATGACTTCTCTGAGGTACAGTGCCTTCCTACTAGAAATGGAGCTAATAACACTCACCTAAAAAACTTGCGAGATCTAATGAGATACCACATGTAAAGTGCCTTACCTACTCACTAAATCATAGTCGGTGATCAATAAATGGTGGTGATCAATATTATAATTGTGATTTTCCCAATATCACTGAAGATAAAAGGACGCCAGAGAAAGCAAGATCAGGTAAGTGATATTTTAAAACGAGAATTAGGGAGCCTGGGTGGCACAGTCAGTTAAGCAATGACTCTTGGTTTTGGCTCAGATCATGATCTCAGGGCTTCATGCACAGCAGAGAATCTGCTAGAGGATTCTCTTTCTCCCTTACCTCTACTTCTCCGCACTCCCTTGCCCCACCCCTGCTCTCTCTCTAAATAAACATAAAAATCTTTATAAAAATAAATAAATAAATAAAACAAGAATTAAGAGCAAGGGGCTTTATCTGAGCTCTTATGTAGAGGGCAACTGAGGAGAATGAGCACTAAAAGGATCCCAACTAGAGGCACAACTGAGCAAAGCCTGATCAGCTATAAGGGCTCGTCCTGGAACGGGAGTGACAATGGCACACAAAGCTCCTGCAGATGCTGAGGAAAAACCCAGCCTGGCAGGCACTGCAGACTATTAAAAGGACTTAGCATAAAATGGGTCATGGAATAAGCAAGCAGCAGACAACTGAGGTTCTGGGGGCAGTGGGGAAATCTTTGGCTGGAATCACCAAAGGGAATCCAGGAAGCAGTCTGTATCTGGAAACTCTCTGGGCAGGCAGTAGGATCCCTGGGACAGAGCAGGGTTCAGAGTGACCTCAGCCTTTGGCAGGGACAATGTGAAATCTCATAAGAACCTCTGTCAGGCAGGTTAGTTTGGTGTTATTTCCGTTTCCAAGTTCAAGGGCTAAAGATGGGACTGCCTTATATATGGGGATCAATTAGCAACTACATATGAGAGAAAGAAGAGGCAAAGTATTAGAACCAGATAGGGTCAGAAACGCATAGTAAGAATTCTAGGGCCAGAAAAAGCTGTTTAAAACAATAGCTAACTGTTTGCCTTAGGAACTGAGAGACCTTAGAAACATTATTTTGTCATAGCCTCTAAGCGTTCATCTTTAAAATGGGGACAAGAGCTACTAGACAACATCACTGAGGGGACTATACAAAATGGATGCAAGCTGTGTTTCTTCACAACCCTGGCTAACACTGCTTAAATATGAGCTTTCATTTTTATCTTAATCATTATATAGGAAGAGACATAATAGGAAAAACATTACAGCTATGGAATATTCAACAAGGGGTATCATAGGTGATATTAGCATCCCTCCATATGTTTATCACTTTTTAATTAATGGTCTTTGCCTGTATATTGTCTTATTTGACCTTCACACTTTGTGAGGTAGGCAGAATAAGAACAACAATAACAGACTGGAAAAAGCAAAATGTTCAGCAAATGGAGAACTGTTTATAGTAATCATTTACATTTTCTATGTCTTTTGATGCCTTAACATCTTGGGGCCTTGTGGAACCAGGGAGGGACCACTTTTCCAAGGGCTAGCTAGTTTTTGGAGACTATAAACAACTTTCTTACAAGCTTAACTCTCATGTCCAAACCAAATAATCCAGAGTCCATACCCCTAATCATCTTCTTTATTTTACTTTCACACACCAAGCCAACATTCTTTTTGCCCAAAATCACTCCAGGGCCAGGTGCCAGACAATTAAGGACCACCCCTATATCCCAGAGTCTCCTGAAATTATTCCAACTATCCAATCCTAAACTTGCCTGGTTTGCTTACCATACCTCATCCATTCCTTCTCACAAAAAAACAAAAACAAAAACAAAAACAAAAACACAACAAAGACTACATTTCTCTCCCCTCACTGTGGCTCCTGACCAGCCCTGGCACCTCCTGCATGTGGTCCTGTAATGGCATAGCATATTCCTTCCATGTGGGAACCACTGAGTCGCAGACCATCTTTTCAACAGCAACTGTCTCCTGATCTGTTATTCACCATACCTGAATAAAAACAACATCCCAGATACAGACGGCCAACAGATACATGAAAAGATGCTCAACATCACTCATCATCAGGAAAATGCAAATCAAAACCACATACTTGATATCGGCGCCTAGCTACTGCCCCGGAAGCTGCCCCATCCCGGGGTCATGATGGGCAGCAAGATGGCGTCTGCCAGCAGGGTCGTTCAGGTAGTCAAGCCACATACTCCATTAATAAGATTCCCTGACAGAAGAGACAATCCTAAACCTAATGTATCAGAAGTTTTGAGATCAGCAGGACTACCATCTCACTCTTCTTCAATTTCACAGCATTCTAAGGGAAGTAAATCACCAGATTTGCTGATGCATCAGGGTCCACCAGACACTGCAGAAATAATAAAAACATTACCTCAGAAATACAGAAGGAAACTTGTATCTCAAGAAGAAATTGAATTTATCCAACGTGGAGGTCCGGAATAATCACGGACAGTGTGGCTGCTATTTGTCATCAGACAAAAAAATAGTCTTTACAATAAAGACTGTCCAAAAATCCAAAATGGCACATGAGAAATTATATAGCAAACAACTTGAATACTCTGCAAAAAGAAAAAAAATGAAATATAGAAAATTTAGATGGACAGTTGTATCTTCTAATATATGTGTCTTGGTCAGCTTCTGCAAAAGCTTACCTAATTGTTTATATGCTTATTAAAGTATACATTTTTAAAAAAAAAAAAAAAACCACATACTTGTTAGAAAGACTAAAATCAATAAGACATGTTGGTAAGGATGTGAAGAAAAAGGAATCCTCGTGCATTATTGGTGCGAATGTAAATTGGTGCAGCCACTCGGGAAAACAGTATGGAGTTTCCTCAAGAAATTAAAAATAGAAGTACTATATGATATGCTAATTCCATTTTAGGTATTTATCCAGGAGACATGAAAATACTAACTCAAGAAGTTATTTTTGTTTATTGCAGCATTATTTACAATAGCCAAGACATAGAAGCAATCTAAGTGTCCATCAATAGACAAATCGATATGGAAAATGTGGTGAGTAAGTGTATGTGTGTGTGTGTGTGTGTGTGTGTGTAATGGAATACCACACAGCCATAGAAAAGGGTAAGATTGTGACAACATGGATGGACCTAGTAGATATTACACTAAATGAAATAAGTCAGACTGAGAAAGACAAGTACCCTGTGATTCCACTCATAAATGGAATCTAAAAATAATAATAATAAACAAAAAAGCAGAATTAGAACTATAAATATAGAGAACAAACTGATGGTAGCTCGAGGGGAGGTTTGGGTAAAATGAATGAAAGGAAGAGAGAGATACAGGCCTCCAGTTATGGAATGAGTAAGTCATGGGAATAAAAAGCAGAGCATAAGGAATAGAGTGAAAGATATTGTAATAGTGATGTAATGGGACAGATAGTGACTCTACTTACAGTGAACACAGCATAATGCATAAACTTGTCAAATCACTAAGTTATACACCTGACACTAATGTCACATTGTGTGTCAGCTGTACTTCAAAAAAAACCCAATGCCTCAGATATATATAAAAACAATGTGAAATCGAATGTGGGATAGTACCAGAGTATTTAAAGCTAACTTTAAAAAATTTAAAAAGGATGGAAAAGAGGCATTATGTCAAATAAAAATGGAAACATCTCAACATTTCAAATGAAGAAAAGGGTCATAGCCAGAATAAATTTTATAGTATGATCCTATTTATGGAAAAAAGTATCTTTGTTCCTTTACATGCACATATACATATAGGTGTGCAGCAAGGGGAATAAAGGATGACTATTCCTCTACTGGCTGTGGCTACAGCTCAGAACAGGGGTGGACTGAAGCAAGTAGGAGGTGGATGTTGAAGGAACACTCTTTCCTCTTCTGTATATATATGTATTCTTTGAATTGTCTAAAACAATGCTGGATTCATACATTACTTAAGTAATAAAGATAATAAGATGATTATCCTGCATCTAATTATTAATATGTTCATAGAATGGATCTTATTCAATCAATGGCTATTATTTGGGTATTATCAGACCAAATCTTTCTACAAAAGGGAAAAGAGGAGTTATGGGCTTGGGGCCATAATGGGATTTTTAGAGTTTCTAATCAACTCTCATGAACTATTAAGGAAGGACTTATGCTTGGAAACCAAAACTTTCAAAAAGGCATTTATTATCATTATCTCTCTATCCCCTAATAGAAGATGATTCCTTTTCCTGCATCCATAGTTTGCAAGGGACTTTTGAATTAAACCTTAAAAGCTAATTTTTTCTATACTCTGGACCTAGCACTCAATGCCAATAAAAAAGCTCAGTGTAATTTATTTTCCTCTATAATTTCAAAGTAGATCGATACTAGAGTCCTTTATTGCTGCCGTGGCTTCTAGAGCCCCTGATGGTGAATCATTATAGAAGGAGAGTTCTGGGATCCATAGAATGGAGGTGGCCAGACTCCATTTTTCATGTGGTTTCTGTGGTTTCAGATGAGTTTGAGACAGAGGGAAGAGAAACTAGCCTCATACTGTGAACTCCACAGAGTTGAAGGTATGAGCTGCTGAGAATGAGGGTAGGAAAAGGATCATGGTTCGGTAGTAATACTGCAAAGAATAATGTACAGGCTCTGGTGTTTGACCGGCTTCCAATCTTACCTCTATCCTTTTTGGATGTGTGACCTTTTGTGAGACCCTTCACTGTGTTAACTCTTTGTTTTCTCACTGGTATAACAAGGATAATAATGGCATCAACATCATATGATTATGACAGAAAATTAGTGAGATGATACAAATTCTATAGAGTAAGTATTCAGTTCACATTAATTATTTTTCTTATATTTAAGATAGTATATACTTAGTTTGGTAGGATTTGTGCCTTCAGCCAAACTCAAATAAATACATATTAAGCATCAACTCTGTAGTAGCCTCAATCTCTGCTCACAACCTCTGCTTACAATCTGTTGAGAAGGTCAAACATATTCCTGCAAAAACTCAGATAACTATACAAGGTTAATCTTGTAATGCAGGGTAAAAACAGGTCACTGCCTTATCCTGTATTAATTGTCTGGGTAGTAAAAGCTATAGGTTCTCAGAAGAAGGAGAAACTGCCTTATGGGAGGTTTCATAAGAGAGTTGAGATTTGACTGAGGTTTTGGGTCAGGTTTGTTTAGACAGAGGACAACGTGGGAGGTATTTTGGGTGGGAAAACAGAGTAAGTAGAACTATGGTGTACCCAGAAGGAATATAAAGCAAAAAGTTAACCAGTTGATATGGAGAATGGGTTTTGAAATACTTGGCCAAAGTTGATCAAGAAACACTCCAAAACTGATCACATTCTTTTCAAAGACTTGAACCTCATCTGAATTAATTCCGAAGCCTTGCTGTACTTGAAATTACATCTTAGACACTTGTTCGATGGAGTATACACTAAGCTAAATTCTTAAATCCGTAATATCTAGACTCTCTCAGATGAGAACTAATAATAACCATTGGAATAAGATCCAAGACCTAAGGCAGCATTGTATGTATAATGTGATCCTAGAACAGTATTTCCTAAAATGGGTACCCCAACCTGGGACTTGTGAAAAATGTGAATCTGTGGGCCTCCTGCTGATTCGGAAACTCAGGGAGTGGAACACAGCAATCGCAGAATCAATAGATGATTCTGATGCAGTTTTTGACAGTTATTCCTCTGTTCCAGTAATTGTTTTCAAGTGCACTTACTTAATGTTTGTTTCTTGGTTAGCCCAATAAGCTACTCCGTTATTACTTGCAAAGACTCCTGTAGCTCTCCTGACATCCTCTATTTTAGAGGAAATTCTTAGAAGCAATAAATTCTAAGTAGATCTGAAATGAGATTTTTTTTCCCTAGCAGCAAGAAGAGAAACAAAAATACAGACAAAAATAATCAAATGATCATCTTAATAATGTAATTTTGCTTCTTGAAGTGTGGCTCAATAGAATCACCATGAAGGACTTTTTAAAGAATAGTTCGTGTAATTGGAGCTTTATGGGTTTTTGCTGAAAATGCTTTAGCTATAGATGGGCCACATCCCATTAGCACACTTACTCTAGAGCCCACAGGAGCTCTTTGACAGGAATATGCTATCATGGTGGTAGCAAAAAGCATAACAATTGATTTTAATTATTCGAACTCCAATTTCCAAGCAAGGGATTGATCTAGAGGGTTACAATTGTGCTAGTACATTTGATGTTCCTTTCTGAAATTTTCTTTTTAGAGAATGATTTTTAGCTCAAAACAACAAAACATTTGAAAGAAGAAAAAAAAAACAAAACTCTAAAACCTAAAGGACCAGAATAAACACAAGTTTAGCTGGATCCCACTATTAAAGTACCATGGGGTAGCAGAGGAATACCCCAAATACATCTCTTCCAATTCTTAGCACTGAGACTTGAACCTCCTGTTTTGTGGTATCTGAATATCATTAAATCTAAGCATCATTAGTTCCACATTTCTTCTAGATATGCGTTTCATATTTTTGAAGAAAACTATGAGGCCAGACACACTATGAGGGCAGCTGGAGTGAGCCATCACTTTTAAAACTGAAGTCCTCACAATGGTGCATCAGACCCTCTATACTCTGGCTCCTGATTATTTCTCTAGAACCTCATCTACTACTCATCTACATCTCATTCAGCCCAAGCCACACAGACCTCCTTCCTACTCCTCAAATCACCTACAAAATGTGCTTCAAACTAACACTTCGTTCTATCTTTGTATCTGCAAGATTCTCTATATCATTTCCTACAACCCTCAGTCCACATATCACCTCCTCAGATCATCTTCTGCTGAGCATTGTCATATAAACCTCCAGCCTTCTCTACCCTTCTTTCCCTATCTTATTTTCTGGACATATTACATAATTTACTTAATTTTGTCTATTGCCAATTTCCCTCTCCCCAACTACAATATAATCTCCATCAAGGCAAGAGCTCTGCATATTTTGCCGATTACTGTATCCCCAAAGTTTGCAATAGTGCCTGGTGGATGGTAGACATTCAGTACTGTTGATTAAATTAAAGGTTTGTGAAGAAAAGGCTAAACAGAAGTTATTTACAGAAAAATCTAGAATTTCAATTTGTCTGTTAAGGTAGACAAAGAAAAATATCCATGGCTTTTTGTTCAAAAGTAACTCTTTAATAAAAAAAAAAAAAGTAATTCTTAACAAAGAAATTAACTGATAGGATTTGTCACCACAAGATCAAATGCCTGTGCTGTCTGCAATGTAGAGAAGTCAGCCTTAAAACATTCAGGACCACCAAGGAGGTGGTCATCTCTCTAGCAGCACCAACTGGAAACAATTTCTCTGCCTTTCGTTGAGTTCTAGAACAGTACACTGAGGCCTTGTGCCCTCATTGTAGTCCCCTAGAGGGACGGTAGCATCCCTACAGATCCCTGCACCTGGAGCTGAGAATTGACTGTCCTCGGTTGCCTAAAGTGCCTCTTGAAAGGTACTAGATGATTCACTTGGGTGTTATCCCACATTTTAGAGAAGAAAAAGGGAAATTCTTATCTTCTTTGCAGCAAGGAGAGAACAGGTTTCACCCAGATCTGGGTTCTAGCGCTAATTCCACCACCAGCTAGTAGATGGCCTTGGGCAAGTCACTTATCTCTGAACATTAGTTTTTCATCTGTCAATGAGAGTAATAATAAAAGTAGTTACTAAATACTGAGAACTTCATA